CAAGAACATGAGAAGAAGGCATCTGAGCAAAAATCTTCTTGAGATAAGACGTTCAAAATTATGATAAAATAGAAAATGACCCAGTATGAAAGCCGAAATACGAACAGACGACCGCGTCCATAAAGCAAATAGCCCCCAGACACTCATCACGCCATAATCTATGCGTGTTCATGAGTTAAGACTATGGCTTTCTGAACGTACATTAACGCGGAATAAACTCCTAGCCGACTAGATCGACTAGGCAACCCCTGGCAGTGCGCCTCACACTGCCACTAAACAGACTTACCCTACGATCAAAATAGCCGCGAAAAAATGAGCCCTTTTAAAAAGGCAACTCTGATGTACTAAGACTAGAAGTATTAAACTAGCGTAAAGTACGTCCACGACTAATAGCATACTTCCAATTCGATAATAACTTAATAGTTAACAGATAGTGAAATCCTGCCGACTTGATTTCCCATACTTCTGTCCACCTCTGTCCCACGATTGTTTTATTAAGGCCAAAACATTTTAAAGTACTTGTAAACGATTTACGTTAGATGATAGTTACTCAACTGCACACTTAAACTTGTCTCTACACCTGTCAGCATTCGACATTTATGCCATCTATCATTCAAATGAAATCGCCTAAAGATCGAGGGTTATCAGTTGTTTAGGCTTACACCAGGAGAGCAAGCCTATTGACCCCAAATGCGTCTACGAAAGTTGATCTTATCCGAGGAGACATATCAAGCGTTCTCATCACCACCGCTACACGCAAACATGTCAAACGTCCACAGCAGTTCTGATCCACTTTTTTTTGATCAAGCAGTTCGTTGACTGAAAACTTTCGTAATTACCTATCTAACCTCAATTAACTTTCTACTTGTTAAAAACTGTACCTCATAAACGATCTGTGTGTCCCTTGTCGATGCAGCTGCCAATGGAGCCAGGTAGGGGCCAGAATTGTTTGGAAGACTCGATGAGACACGAAGTGGCTGCAGTGTCGATCCCGTCACTGGTTGCTGTGACAACGGCTGTTGCTGTGACTGCAACTTGAGGACTCGGATTGGCCGCTTGACCTGAGATGTGGTAGTCACGCCTCCTGTTAATATCGGGTTGCCAGATAAAGCTCGGTTTTCGGATGTGCTCGTGGTTAAAGTGGATGGGTTACTCTGGTGTAAGTAGATTTGGATGCCGTCGTCTTGTGCATTTCTACATTTCGGAAACAAAGAAAACTCATAAATGAAAGTGGACTTATCAAAGGCTTTAGTGTATGATACGCACTGGAGTAGAAGTCGGCTACATCAAAGGGAAAGGAAACTGTCCTTCAGACTATTTGAGTCTTCCTAGCCTTACCCAATAGGCTGATGGAGACATCGAATGTTGGCATCGAAGGTGTTTGAGAAGAGCGTTCTCACCCATATAAATTTAGACGGTCCAATGGAAGGTCTACTTCCGTTCGATGGAGAAATGGGAATTCTTAAACGGTACGAAGGTGTCCATAACGATGATTTGTGTTGGATACCTGGATGAACAGATGCGTCAGTGGCTCGTAGGCGTGAAAACGTGCCAATCAAGCCATCACTTACATTCAGTGAGTAATTTGCTCACCACCTCAAGATCTTGAAGCGCGATGAAGTCCAGAAAAGACTGGCCAATCATGAAGGAGAAAATGCAGGCTTTGGTTGGATCACTGAACAGGGAAAACAGAATGAATTATCTTTAAAGGTTAACATTTACATAAGAGGAAAATACTGGATTGAGATAACACTTTATCTTTCGTAATTTTAGTTGTATTTGAACGGGAGTGAAATGTTGATGTCTAACAGGGCGTTGT